CATATTTAATATATAATTTTAAAAATAATTTGAGGTTCAAAGGGAAAAAAATACGTAATGCCTAAACCTTGGAAAAAAGCCCAGTGGAATTTTGCCAAGTGCTAAAGGTACCAGCACAGACTGAACTCCGAGCCTGACAAGCACTTAGCAACTTACATACCTGAGATCTCCACTTCTAATTTTTTTTAATGTGGCATTTAAGTCAAATTCCCTGACAAGTGTAAAGAATCATTCGATGTAGAAGTTTAACAAGATGATGTACGACCCAAACAGTACACAGGTCCACCTCTGAAAGGCTTGGGCCTTTCCCACCTACTGGTTAAAAAAAAAAAAAAAGTTTTTAATAAAGCCCAAGTCCATTTTTAAGAGGAGTAATCTGTCTAGAATAATCAGCTGGGCTGCAAGCTGGGTCTATAAAGTTCCTGAATGGATCTGTAGGAATTGTTTGGTGGTGACAGGACAGGAAGGGATATTTGGTCCAAAGCTTCCAGCAGATTTTCAGAGGGGAACTGAGGCGCCCCAAAAGTTAAGAACCACTAACTTATGAATGAGTTTATGAGATTAGCAGTTCGTGTCATTTATCAAAGCGAAAGATGAAATGTTTGGGCTCCGAAGTCAACCAACAGGGTTCAAATCCCAGTTGAGAAGCTGTGAAAGTGACCTTAGGCCTCAGTTTCCCCATCTTCCTCACCTGTCTCTTAAGGCTGTGGGAAGAGTTAACGGGGATCATGCACGTAAAATAGCACCGTGTCAGGCACATAAGTACTCAATAAATACAAACTTGATTATAACAATATTACTACTAAATGAAATGTATTGCTGGGTACATGAAGCTTCAGTCTACCCATGTAACAACTTGTATGTGCAACATTGATAAAACCATTCTATAACTCGAAATGGATACACTTCATGTTTGCTGCTGTGCTCCGTGAACTATTCAAAGTAGCGCTGGTCTTAATGCAGACATTAAGGTCACTATATCTGTTCTTTCTTATCACCCCCTACTGAGCCTCCCATCACCAACAGAAAGGCAAAACTGTCCCTGGTTACTCAAATAATGCTTCGTGGTCTCTCCCACCATTATCTTTACTTTAGAAAGTGACCTGTGAATTCTAGGCCAGTCACTACCAGGCCTTGGTATCAAAGCTGAGGTTTTAAGGCACTTTACTCACTAGATGATAATCTGAATTCATTCAACCTTAAAAAGTTTTCTGTTACCTTTTGCTGGTTCCCAGGACAGAACAAAAGTTAGCACTGCACAAGGGACAAGAAGAAACTGGCGAGGTCCTAAGATCATATATCTTTAATATATATATATATATTTTATTCTCCCCCCCCAAAAGAGACATTAGATATTAAATGACTAACCTCTAGCAACTATAGGCTTAAAAAGTAAACCAGAAAAAGGATAATCTCAAATTGCTGATGGCAGACCTCTTTCAGACCAATTTAAATGGCCAAAAATGAGGAATATTGTTAAGCAAACTAGATTATACTAAACACAGGGGGGAATCTCAAGTGTGAGTATATGTTAATTATACACACATATATTTTTAAAGCAAAAAGCTACAGGTTTGAATGTTACTGAGTATACTTTGCTTTCATGCTTAAGCTCAGCTCCTTACATGACAAACAAAACTAATATAAATAAAACCAATCTCTCAAAGAGAGATTTATAATGTGAAGAATTTACAGAGGGTTACCTCTTAAAGCATCATGTGATACAAAGGAAAGGATACAGAAGTCATCACTCACTGGGTCAGGCTAAGGGTCACCAATGTGCTTAGTTATTTTTAAATTTTTAATGTTTATTTTTTTTGAGAGATACAAAGACAGAGCACAAGCAGGGGAGGAGCAGAGAGAGAGGGAGACACAGAATCCGAACTAGGCTCCAGGCTCCGAGCTGTCAGCGCAGAGCCCGACGCGGGGCTGGAACTCACGAACCGCGAGATCATGACCTGAGCCGAAGTTGGATGCTTAACCGACTGAGCCACCCAGGCGCCCCAATGTGCTTAGTTATTATAAAGCCGTTAACACTTTGAGTCAATCAATTGAGTCAGAATGTTTAACTGAAGCCCCAGGAGGACTTGAAATCCCAGAAATTCAGACTTAGAAACACTCTAATTCCCAAGCCAACTCTCTTACTTCACAGACGAAGAAGCTTAAGCTTAGAGAACTTCGATGGCTTGTTAAAAGTCAAGAGCTATCTGATTTTTAGCAAAGGCCTAAAACAGTTGATGCATCGCTGTACTTGGTTCCTCTGCATCCAAGAGTATACTGTTAATTCCAGGAAAAGCTAGTCCACTGTGGCTCTGGAACCTGGAAAAGAACATACCTGTACCCTAACAAATGGGGAAAGGACAGAGCTACGGGATCAAGTCAACTGTAATTCAGAGCCCAAAACTCACCCAGCACTACACACCCACCGAAGGGTAGAAACTATCTTAGGAAATGCCTTTGCAATAAATTATACATCAAAGGAAAAATAGCCAAATTGACACTCGAAGCCACTGGTCCTCAACCTCTGGCGTACATCAGAATCACCTACAACTGCCTCCAAAATATATACCCAGGGTATCCTTGGAGACCAAGCATGTGGGCCCGTGTACTATGGGACTGGACATCTGCGCATGGAGGTTCTGATGAACACGGCTGCTTGAGATCGCGTGTTCCCGGCGATTTTGTGATTCCGTAAACATTACACAGACAGGTGTATCTTTGATTTGCCCTGGGAAGACTGTTCAGTTTCGGCCCACAAATGACACCAAGCATGCACAAAACGCATCGGATTACGCCGCAACAGTAGCCGTGTGACATGCCCTCACTCTTAACCCAGGGAGGAAGGGTACAAGCGAGTCACAGGATTCGAGACACTCCAAGTTAGTGAAGCGGGGTACTGAAGGCCTGTAGCCGCCCAAGAGTCTGTCTAACTAGGAATTTAGAAACACACGAAGCCCTCAGGACACGAGGAAATGCACGAAGGGAAGAAAGCTTCCATCATCCACCTTTCCAGGCACCTGATGGAAGAGGGTTTTAGTAAGATATTAACTTTAGTAAGAGGATATTTTCATTTTACATCCTCTATAAATACCCCTTAAGTTTACGCCAGGTGGTTAGGGGAAGACTTCGCTGCTCCCCAGGGCAATAGCGGAGAATGTTTCAGTGTTTCTGAGGGGCTTCATTTGCCTGATGCACGACTGTTACGGGTACATTCCCCTACACAACCCTAAATCAGCCCTCCCATTTGCATACTCCAGGTTTACTCAGGAATGTTCAACTTCAGAATCACAGGTGGCTGCTCCGCAAATCAAGGGCTCCCCGAAGACTCGGTTTGATAAACGCTTCCTGAAATTTACAGCCCCGCCTCGCCGGCGTGTTTGAATTCCGATGACTCCAAGTGGATCCCGAAATTATAAATCAAAGCATCTCAGAAGAGTATTATTCTATTTTAGTACTTTTACAGCTTAGTCTATGCAAAGTGAAGTGCTATTTCCAGGCTTTCTATTAACAAAACAAAACAAAACAAAACAAAAAAACAGCAACGATTTTAGTAGGACTTCTTTCGGCAGTAAACGTGTCCTTTTATAAAAACATCACACACTTGCCGGCCTAATTTAGACTCACGTGTTTACAAGCACAAAGGCTGCCATCCCAAAGGAAGCTCAGGTGTAGGAGCCCCTATCCCTGTTGGAGGCCCCATAGCTGGACACAACGGACCCCTCTTCAACACGAGACGCGCACGCACGGGCACCTGCGCACAAACTCCGGCCGATCGGTTCCAGCCACTTAATTAGAATGACAGGCCGGCTCCGGTCAAGCAACATCCACACGGACCAAGCGGGAGTAGCAACAAGGCCGGGAGCACAGTCTCGGAACCCACAGCTGAACACCCTGCGGACGGGACCCTGGGCCACCAGCCCCAATCTCTCTGGGCCTCAGTTTCCTCCCCTGGGAAATGGAGGCGTCCACAGCGGCCGCCTCTCCCCGTCGCCGCAGGGACTGGAGGAGAGGGCGACCGCCGAGCACCAACCCGCCCGGGGAGCGCTCCACTAACGCGAGCGCTTGCTCTCGGGAGGGCCGCGCCCCCTCCCCCGACCAGCCCCCGAATCCAAAACACACGGAGCACAACTCGCTCGCAGGAAGCACAAAGAGCTTTAATCCTCCAAGGTCTCTCGGCCCGCGGGCTCGTCGTCTTCCAGTTCCGCAAACGAATGAATGGGCGTCGAGGAGCGGCTCCGCAAACAGCTAGCCGCCGCCGAGGCTTCACCTCGGCCGCCTTGGAGGCAACTGTCTCTGACCGTCAAGCAAACACCCACGAGCACACGCGGAGCGAGGCGCCCCAGTCCCGCGAATTTCAGCGGACGCGCCGGGAGTGCAGGCGAGTCCCGGGTGCCCACGGGCTGCCTCCATTCATTCTCCGCCCCCCCCCCCCCCCCGGAAAGCCCCAGCACCAGCCGCCCTCCCCCACCGGCCCTGCCCCTCCGGCCGGGGGTCTCTCCCCTGCCCTCCGCACCCCGCGGGAGCCTGTCACCCCGCCGAGCGAGGGGCTGGCGAAGGGGCCCGCCTCACCCCTGCCCTCGGCACCGCGCCCCGGGGGTGCAGCCGTCCCCTCGGCCGCCGAGGAGGGGCGAGGTGCTGGTCCGGCCCGCCTCTCCTCCCCAGGGACTCTCGCCAGCTCTGCGGGGCCCCGCCAGAGACAGCACGTAATCAGAGGGAGGGGACAGCCCTCCGGACACCCCTTCCCGGGCTTCCCTCTCCAGCAAGTGAGCCCCCTGCCCCAGCCCCTCGGGCCCCCCCCCGACCGGGGTCGTGGTGCCAGGGGTGCCCCGAGAAGCCCCCGTGGAAAGGAGGGGGGCGACACCCCCATACTCACCCACCGTCTCCTCCCCCTCAGCTGTTTACCTCACAGTTCCTCCAGCCTACAGGGCGCCGCCATCTTGGACGTACAGCACCTCCCCCGTCGTGAAATGCCCACGACCGCTGCAGCCTCCGCCACGAAAAAGAGTGCCCAGCTGGGTCTCCCCTCCCCCTCGGCCCCAGCGGCAGATGACCGCGGCCGGCAGCCCCGTTGGACGGAAGAGGCCGTCCTGCTCATTACTGGTGGTGAGAACCGGCCGAGAAAGAGCCCAGGAGAGTTTGTAAGGTCGGGGGGGGCGGGGACGGGCGGAAGGATCCCGAAAGGAGGCCGCTGAGAGATCTTGTGACTCTGAAGGAGGCGAAAAGAAGGGCCGGCGCGGCGGGAGGAGCCACGCGCGGGAGCGAGGGGCGGGGCGGAGGTCACGTGCTCGGGCGGCCGGGAGGGGCCGTGCAAGAGGCGTAAACAAGGTGGCCCGGCTGGGTGTGGTTGGGGTGCCTGCTGCCTTCCCCCTCGTCCCCTCTGCCCTTGCAGACCCAGTTGTTCCCTCCTCCCCGAACCCCTTCCCGGGGCCTCTCTCTCTCTCTCTCTCTCTCTGTCTCTCTCTCTCTCCCTCCCTGTAACCCGCCGCAGAGCCGCGATCATGTTTCCCAAAGAGCCCCTGGGGCCCGCGTGGGTGAAGGGTCCGCTCTGGAGCCTTGGAGGAGTGGCTTTTCACTCCATCCGGGCAGCCTTCGTTCCTTTGCAGAATATTCGCAAAACCCCACCTCTGAGACTGTGAAGAAAGAACCACACTGGCGTCTGCCCTCAGGTTGCCAACGCCTCAGACCTCATCACGACAGTTGTGGACAACCACCCTAATCGGAGCAGACAGCTTTGAAATGAAGCAGCCTTAATCCCGTCCCTTCTATTTCCTAGCTGTCTACCGGCTTAGACCTGACAAGTCTTAAAGTCGGCGGGGGCCTCAGTTTCTTCCTCTGGGAAATGAGCATAATAGCATTCCTCAAGTGAGAATTCAAGCCCCGAGCATAGTAAAATGCTCAACAGGTGATGTTCTTTATCAGAGGCCAGAGCAGCATGACAGAGCAGGCAGAGAGTGAGATGAGCCTAACGGAATTTGAAAGGCTTTTTGAAGGAATGGGCATCTGCTTTGTTTTTAAAGGAAAGGTAGGTTGTATGAAATAGAAATGGGAGAGGCGGTTGGGAGGCCGGAAGCACCAACGAATCAAGAGCCTGGAGGCAGTAAGTGCTGGGTGCCTTCTGGGAAGAGCAAGTTTTGTCTTGGGAACCAGTTGGGTCACAATGCCAGGCAGCTTGTGATACAAGGGGCCAGGTGCATCAGTGGCCAGAACAGTGGGTGCTGTCGGAATTCGGAGAGGCCCAGTGTCGCCCAGGTGGGGCTGCTGCTAGCTTGTCTGGTGCTTTGCGAGAATTAGACACCCCTTCTGAGACCGTAGCCCATGTGAGCAGAGCCCAGGGTGTATTTCAGCCCTGTCCTCTAGCCCCCGATCCTCCTGGATTGAGCAGTGCACAGCCTTTATAACCATGCTGGCTTATGGGGAAGGTGGGTGTTGAGCTGGGGATTCAACCAGTCTAACGTGGTTATGGAGGCAGTTGGGGGAAGCCAAGAGTTCTTGATTCAAACGGACCAGAGCTTGAGTGCGGGTTTCTGCTGTCCTACGAACGGACTCAGACTTAGTTTCCTCATCCACAATGTGGGGTGATGATAATGTCTGCCGAGTGGGGATTTGAGGTTGAATCAGTGAGACGTTAAGATATAACTAGGGTAAAACCTAGTTCCATAACTGTTACTTCTGGGGGCGCCTGGGTGGCTCGGTGGGTTAAGCGTCCGACTTCAGCTCAGGTCATGATCTCATGGCCCCTGAGTTCGAGCTGTCAGCACGGAGCCCAGAGCCTGCTTGGGAGTCTGTGTCTCTCTCTCTCTCTGCCCCTCGGCCACTTGCGCTGTGATTCTCTTTCTCTCTCAAAAATAAATAAACATTAAAATTTTTTTAAAAAAAATAAATGTTACTTATGTTACCATGTTGATTGTGTTCATGGCCAGCATCCATGACTCCCAGGAGCTGGTCCACCAAATACTGAACTTTATGTAGCCACCCAAGGGCCATCAGCTTGGGGGGGGGGGTCGGGGGGGGGGGGACCCAGAGATGAAAAGGTTGGGGGAAAAGGGGAAGGATCTGGTTTCTCCACAAACCATTTGGCAGGAAGGACTACACTGCCTTTGCATGCACGCCAGGGCTGGGACTCAAGTGCATTCAGAGATTTCTGAGTCCAGGGATTGGAGGGCCCAGGTTAAGGGGCGGAGTCGAGGGCCAGGCACTGCCCTAGAGTTCTGACCCAGGAACCTCCCTCCCTCCCCCCAATTTTCCTTAGCGCTCTGACCTCATCCTGCTGGAATGTTCTTCTCCGTGGAAGGGAGCAGTGATCCATGGAGCTCATCAACTCCTGGCCCTCAAGGGGGGCCCGAACTACATTGTTACTGTTTATACAGTGTCTGGAAGAAGAATGGTAATTGTTCTCTCAATATGGACCACCAGGGGCTCGTGTGACAAGAGGCCAGAAAGAAAAGGCAGAGGCAGCCCAGCCACCATCCCCAGCAGCTCTTAGTCCAGGCTACCTGGATAATTTTTTCTCTAAAAGTCATGGGTCGCCTGTCTGAACGTGACAAGAAACAAAGGAGCTGAGCCGGTGTAGGCAGGTGGTGCTGACCCGATAGACAGGGTAGTCTTCCCCTGCATTAGTCTGTGCGACGTCTCCCCCTCCCCTTCCCGGGGACAACCACAGTACCACCCTCGAGCCACGGGGGCACTTGGACCGGGCCTGGCCAATCCCCATCATCTAGCCAAAGAGATTGGCCGTTGGACACGTGACTTGAGCTGGACCAATCAGGGTGCTTCCCCGAGTCTATATATGGATACTAAAGAGAGATTGTGCCTTGCCTCGGGTCACAAAACCCAGATGAAGAAGCTGTGACCCTCCACGTCCCCATCTCCTACGAAAAACTCAGAAGCCCAGCCAAATGATGGAAAAGACCTAGATGGAGACCAAGATGGAGATGGAAAAAGAAATATAATTCGCTATCTCCCGAATTTTCAGAGTCCTGGAAAAAAGCCTGCTTTCACCCTTCTGTATGTGGCCTCATGCTACTCACCCTGCCTCCAGGGGCCACACATCTCCTACAGGGCCAAGTCCAAGTTTCTGGCAGTAGCCTCCACAGAGCCCTGGAACCCCATCTCAGCAGCAGCCCCTCGCTGTTTAGCACTGGGTCCAAAAGACCCAGATTATATGTGTATACACTATATACATATATGACCATGCGCATATCTATGCATATACTTTTAACTTACATAAATGGTTTATGTTTGCGGTGGCAATTTGTTTCTGGCCTTTTCCCCCACTCACCGTTGTTTTGAAGCTCCGTGCGTGATGCTCTGTATGCATCTAGCCAGTAGCTTCTAATGGCTGACAATTATTCAGCGATATGGATCTACACTGATCGGCCCTCCACTCTCCCAGGGAGGGACTGATACCCACGGTGCCACCCGAAACACTGGGAGGAATATGCTGTACTGATACGGCTGAGAATGTCTTTGGGGTGTATATCTAGGAGTAAAGCTGGTGGACTTAACTTTGTTGTTGTTTTTAGAGAATTTTTTTTTTTAATTTTGTTGGGGTATAATTGATATACAAAAAAAATTGCACACATTTAATTGCACACACATCTGGATGACTGCCCACAAAGGCCCACACCCATGATACCATCACCACAACCAAGGTACTAAACACACCCGTCACCTCCAAAAATTTTGCACGGACTTACCACCAAATTGTTCTCCAGAATGGCTGCCCCAGTCTAGTGTCCACGAAAATGCCCACATCCCTGCCAACACTTGGCATCGACTGGCTCTTTCATGTTTTCAGTAAACTAGGGCTATACTGACACGTTCTTATTTTGTTTTGTTTTGTTTTTAATTTTGAATGTTTATTTTTGAGAGAGAGAAAGCACGCACAGACGTGGGCACACACATGGAGGAGAGGCAGAGAGAGGGAGACGGAGGTTCCAAAATGGGCTCCACACTGACAACAGAGAGCCCGATCTGGGGCTCGAACTCACAAACCGGGAGATCATGACCTGAGTCAAAGTCGGACGCTCAACTGACTGAGCCACCCGGGCACCCCTGACATGTTCTTGTTTAATTTACCACTCTCTATTAGTGAGACGGAGCATTTCTTCATATTCTTGTTAAGCTGTGGGTTTCTTCCTCTATAAATTGCTGATTCTTATCTTTTGGCCATTTTCCCAATAGAGTTACTATCTTTCCCTTGTTGATTTGTGGGAGCACCGTCTCTGTTTTAGGTGTGTGCCCCCTTGTTGGCTACAGATATTTCCAATGTTTCCCCCAGTCTGTTATCATCCTAGTAACTGTAACTGTATTGTATTACATTGGAAGAGAGACATTAATCCTGATGTTATCAAACTCATCTCCTTTTTTTTTTTTTTTTTTTTGAGACTTACACTTTGGGTTTTCTGAGGTTTTGCTTAAGAATGTCCTTTCCAAGTGGTGCCTGGATGGCTCAGTTGATTAAGCATCTGACTTCGACTTGGGTCATGATCTCACAGTTCGTGAGTTCAAGCCCTGCATTGGGCTCTGTGCTGACAGCTCGGAGCCTGGAGCCTGCTTTGGATTCTTGCCTCCATCTCCCACAGTTTGTGAGTTGGAGCCCCACATCAGGCTCCCCACTGTTGGCACAGAGCCTGCTTCAGATCCTCCGTCCCCCTCTCTCTCTGCTCTTCCCTGGCTTGTTCATGCTCCCCACTCCCCACCCCGCCAAAAACAAATAAACATTTAAAAAAAAAAAAAAAAAAAAGATTGCCCTTTCCAGGGCGCCTGGGCAGCTCAATCAGTTAAGTGTCCGACTTTTGATTTCAGCTCAGGTCATGATTTCATGGTTCGTGAGTTCGAACCCTGCATCAGGCTCTGCACTTTACAGTGTGGAAGCTGCCTGGGATTCTCTCTCTCTTCCTCTCTCTCTGTCTCTCCCTGCCATCTCTAAATAAATAAATAAACTTAAAAAAAAAAGAAAAAGAAAAAAGAATGCCCTTCCCAATCCTTTTCTTAGTCAGAAAGGAGAATTGGCCGTGGTGACCACAGGTGGGCAGTAACAGAACAGATTGCCTGGTGAGGCCAGAGAGGCCCAGGTGAGTCAGGACCCTGGGTCGACAACCCAGCCGTGTGGCCTGGATGAGTCACTGGGCAATCTTGGTGTCTCCACTGGGAAAATGGGGATGAGACCAATACCTTAAATACCCAATTCTTAGGGTTGCTGGGACAGCTCGGTATGAGACACATGTCAATGCTCGGAGGGTGCCTGCCACGGTGTGGGCGTCAATAAATATTGTTATTGCTGTTACCTGCTGTATGAGTGTCCTCCGACTGCCCTAACAAATTACCCCGGGCAGGGGGGTGCTGAAAACAGTAGAAATGTATTCTCTCACCATTCTGGAAGCCAGAAGTCTGAGAGCAAGGTGTGGGCAGGGTTGGCTCATTCTGGAGGCTCTGATGGAAAATGTGGTCCGTGCCTCTCTCCTGCCTCGTGATGGTGCGGCAGACTTTGACCTTCTGTGGTCTGTAGCTGTGTCATTCATGTCTCTGCATCTGTCCATGTGACCTTCTCCTCGGTGTGTGTCCGCTTGTCTTCTTATAAGGACACCAGTCACCGGATTCAGGGCCCACATTAACCTACCATGATTTCATCTGAACTGCACTATACCCGTAAAGAGCCTATGTCCAAATAAGGCCGCATTCTGTGGTTCCAGGTAGACATGAATTGGGGGGGGGGGGGGGGGAAGGGGACCATTCAATCCTCTACACATGCTTTCAAGGAGCATAGAGTCCAACAGATGAGATGGGAGAGGGACTGATCATACTGTGATTCAGAGCCAGGTGCAGCCCAGGAATAACAGGCAAAGTGCTACAGACAAAGAGGCTGTACTCAGAGTGACGAGGGCCACCTACCCATGGGGATGGGATTTCAACCTTGCTCCTGGTTCAATCAGGAATTTGCTAAATGGTGATAGGCCAGATGGGTTGTGCAGGAGGAAGACCCAGCTTCAAGCAAGACCACCTAAGACTGTTTGTTTAATAAACGGTCACATTTAAGATATGTGTGAAATCGAAGATAAGCAAGTCAGTATATGGAGGGCCTCAAGCTAAATGAGAAGCTTGAATTATATCTGGAGGCAATGAGGGGGCCCCAAAGGTTTGAGAGT